GTTGGGCTTTAATTTATGCACGTCACCAGGAAATGATGGCATTACTGTTATGGCATAAGAGCAGGGAAGTTTTTATTGCAACCTGCTGAAGATGACTGAGGATGATAATGCAGCCTCATGATCTTTAGTCCCTTTTATACGGGTAGAATGAGCTATTAAGATAAGAGATAGCATATTAACTTTTCGCAAGTGAAGATGATCATAAGTAGGAAGGACATTCGTTTAGTCGTTAAATTTCATGTTTTCTAGACTACATTCATACTGTGCTAACTATAGGTGCTACCATTCGCAAAGTTTGAGTTCCAACCGAAGAAAAATGATCAAAACGTTCATTGTTGTTGACCTCTTACGTGAATGTATACTTTTACTAAGCAGTAGAAAATGTTTGTGCCTCTTTGCTCACGCATACTTACAGAGAAGCATCATATGTGTTTTTCCATGCATTTGCACAAGCATACATGCAAGTCGTTATCTGAATATTTTTTGCCCAATGTTAGTATTTTATTTTTGGAAGATGTGGTTATTCACGTTTGCGTCTTGTGAGTGTTTAAATCTGCCTGTACATATTTACTAATGTGCTAACATGTTCCCTCATGTGAATATATACACACACACATACACACACACACATATATATATATAAGCATACACGACCTAATAACGAGCTATAGTTTTAACCTACTAGTTAACTGACCCTCATCTAAACCGAACAGACACGAACAGCTATGCCCTAATGCTATTACTTCCCTCAGACATGTTTGTCTGTTTTCCCGATGGAGCTCGAGATTTGAGGCCTTATACTGCATAACTTATAGGCTTTGGTGATTCAGACCTTAGAAATGATGACTTTTTAGTTATTGCTGTGCTAAATCTCCATCGAGCCGTCAACAGTCTTGCTAACAGGGCGAGACCAAGCGGTACATGACTGCCTGATCGGGCATTGTGCTGATATTTGACCCCAAAGCAGGCCAAATGCAGAAAGTAAAGTTGTTTATGCTCCTGTTCATGGCCGGAATCTTCGTACAAGTTGAACTTTTTTTCAATGAGCATGCAGAGTAACAGCCCTAGAACCTAAGAGGATTTCTTAACTGATCTAAACCATCCTATATAATTATCTTTCTTTAGATGCCTATGGTCTGTGTAAAACAAGTCTTATCAAGTGGATAAGTGTGGGTTAGCATGTCCTGAGAGTTCGCTCATCCTCTCTGATGGGCTAATTAAGCAGACGTCTGAATAGACCAAGTGGAATATTTAAGCTATGACTCGAGTTTAAGCAACAATAACATGATTCTTTAGTACACAGGTGTTGCCTTAGGGTTTCGAACGAGATTGGCTTTACTCTCCCAATTAAAACTAATTACGGCGGGGGGGTTGATCACAATGAAGCCAACATGTAATTTGAGCAGCAAATTGTCTAACACTGGGTTCGACCGATATTACGAGATTATATTCATCCAAATTGCAATCTTTTCCATCGATAACAATCAAACCTTATACCTATTGAATATGGTTGGAAACGATAATTTCATAAGAAGTTAAGGCCACTTATGTTGCTTAATATAATAATAGCTTAATTTCCAACATTAAAATATATAAAAGTTGCTTGACCTTGTTTTCTCAACTTGGTCATATTGGCAGGAAGACTTAGAGAAATACACCTTGTTTAGATTCCATAGTATGCATGATCATTTCCACAAGTTGACCGTCGACTTGGTAAATCGTCACATGTTTCGCCGGCTTCGCACTCGGCATCGTCAGTAATCCTGGTCATTCCAAGCAGCAAACCACAACTTTTTACAGGGACAAGTAAAGGTGATCCTGTAACCAATTGTCGGCTGAATAGTTGTGGTATCTCTCTTTCTGTCCTG